AGATCTCGGTGTCCATGTGCATAGATCACTGAAAGTTGCCACCCAGGTTGATAGCGTTGTTAAGAAGGCGTACAGTATGCTAGGTTTTATTGGTAGAGGGATTGAGTTTCGGGGCCATGAGGTCATGTTGCAGCTGTACAAAATTCTGGTGCGGCCGCACTTGGAGTATTGCGTACAGTTCTGGTCACCGCATTATAGGAAGGATGTGGAAGCATTGGAAAGGGTGCAGAGGAGATTTACCAGGATGTTGCCTGGTATGGAGGGAAGGTCTTATGAGGAAAGGCTGAGGGTCTTGAGGCTGTTTTCGTTAGAGAGAAGGAGGTTAAGAGGTGACTTGATAGAGACATACAAGATGATCAGAGGATTAGATAGGGTGGACAGTGGGAGCCTTTTTCCTCGGATGGTGATGGCTAGCACGAGGGGACATAGCTTTAAATTGAGGGGTGATAGATATAGGACAGATGTCAGAGGTAGGTTCTTTACTCAGAGAGTAGTAAGGGCGTGGAATGCCCTGCCTGCAAAAATAGTAGACTCGCCCACTTTAAGGGCATTTAAATGGTCATTGGATAAACATATGGATGATAATGGAATAGTTTAGGTTAGATGGGCTTCAGATTGGTTTCACAGGTCAGCGCAACATCGAGGGCCGAAGGGCCTGCACTGCGCTGTAATGTTCTATGTTCTATGTTCTATGTTCTATGTTATATAGATGGAAGGAGAGAATTACAAAAGGACAGAGTGGATCAAGTGTCTGAGAAAAAATGTGACAAGTGGAATTCAATGCGAAGAAATCTCAGAATATCCACACTAGACCCAAGAAAGACTAATCAGTTTATTGACATAAGGGGTAATTTCTTTTACACAGAGAGTGGGCTTGAGTATGGAATGAGCTTCCAGAAGAAGTTGTGGATGTGGGTACAGTTACAATGTTTAAAAGACATTTAGATCAATACATGATTAAGAAATGTTTGGAGGGATATAGGCTGCGCACAGGCAGGTGGGACTGATTTAGTTTGGGATTATGGTCGACATGGTCAGCATGGACTGGTTGGACCGAAGGACCTGTTTCCAAGCTGTATGACTCTATGACTAGAAGCTCTGGAGTGGCCAAGGTATTTGTGTGTTTGTAACTCAATATAAGCCAGTGCACAGATACACAAAATATCTAATTTACTGGGATGTTAGCATGTCTCTCCTCGAGCTTGGGTTTCAGGTGCAAGAATGTTATGCTTCAGTACACTTGGATTCATATTCTCTCATGTTCAAGTGAAATGTAAAAAATTCTTGAGAGGTTTATAGGGTTGTTTCCTTTTGCTGGGAATTCTGGAAAAAAGGGGTCACCTTCTCAAGATAAGGGGTCAAACATTTAGATCTGAGGTCGGAGAAATTTCTCCACTTAGAGTTGTGAATCTTAGGAATTTTCTGCCTTGTAGAGCTGTGGATGTTCAGTCAAAATGTAGATTCAAAAAATGGACTAATAAATTTTGGGTACTTAGGGAATCTGGAGTCATGGCCATATTATGGGAAATAAGAATTATTATAGAAGGTCAGCAATGATCATATTGAATAGCAGATTAGATAAGAGGAGCTGTATGGCCTGCTCAAGATTCAACTTTTTTTTTTCTTTATTTGCCAATTCCTTTGGTTCTGCATCATTTAATTTTGGCTGTCTTCTGTCCTGCCATAGAACTTCTCCTTTGTTCTTAAATGAGGGAAAGTGCTCAGCTTGTTTAAAACCTATTTCATTTCTAACTTTTCCCAATTCTGATTAAAGATTATCGGCTTGAACTGTTAGCTCAGTTACTCTCTCCACAGATGCTAACTGACAAGTTGAATATTTTGAGCATTTTGTTTTTACTTCATTTCTTGAGCATCTGTAATATTTTGCTTTTTGAAATAGTATTGGAGTGATTGACTGATATGACTAATATCTATCAATTAGCATAGAATAGACACAGAACAAGGAAAACCCCAGGCTTGAGGTTTCAACTTGTATGTTACTCAGCTATCAACTCATACTCACCTGGCAAGTAAACCATCCTTTGTCAGTGCAGAGCCGACTATTCTCTTTTGCTGTCCTATCAAAGTAACAACCATTGAACTTATTTTGTTGAAGCAGCTTCTCTATTCTTGCTACAAATGCACAGTACTTCTCCTTCACTTTTTTATCAACATTTTCAGCATGGCTTTTAACCTGTGAATGGAAAAAATATGTGCTATTGTATCTTTAAAGAACAATTACATTCTACTTATTGAATCAGTACACTAAGTGATGCAGCCATAGCACAGTGGACATATACATTTTGCGTAAAGGGAGGAAATATTAAGGAGAATATTTGCAAGTAATTATTTTAATCACTCCATAATTGGAGCACGTGCTTTCAGCTGCCAAGATTCCAAGTTTTGTAATTTCTCTCGAAAACTCTGTAATTTCTCTTCTTCAGTTAAGACGCTCCATAACACCCACCTGTTTGATAAAGCTTATGGCCATCTGCCCTAATATCTCCTTATTTTAGTGTCAAATGTTGTTTGATAAAATTCCTGCAAAGTGTCATGGTACATTAAAAGTGTGAGGTAAATGATAGTCATTGTTGGAAGCATTTTCATAGAACAATGGAATGCTATGCTGCAGAGAATGACCTTGTGAGGATTCAACATCCAGGCCACACAATCAATTACAGAGTGCCACATCTTGAAGCAACTGACTTGGGAGGTGTTCCTTTGAAAAAGGAAAATTACTCAGAACCAACACCACCCTAGGTGCGCAAATATTCCTCAGCCTGGTTACGGCAAGGACATTGCTTTATTACAAACTTGCACTAGGAGAAAATTGATCTTACCACATCATGGAAGAAGGTGTAAAATGCAAATGTGTAGACTTTTGAAATTATTATATTTACAACCTTAGTAATTACAATGTGATAGAAACAGCCTATTCAGGCTAACGAGACAATTAGGCACAAAGAATATCTCGGAAAAGGTAGAAAACACTGTGGTTCATACAGATAATTTTACATTAAAGAATATAAATTGTTCCAGTTTCATACCTCTGACAGGTAGTTTCTCATTCTTCTGCCACAACTGAATCTCATGTAATCAGATTTGGTTTTAAATCGCGACTCCAAACCTACAACATAATAGATTTTACAGCTAGTGCTTGCAATTTGTGATAACAGTTTTATACTCGTCTAACTGAATCATCAAGTCACAAAGGTGTTGAATGGACTATTTAATTGACTACTTTAGGAAAGGATGGGTCACTGTATAGCAGTTATTGCTGGCATGTTATTAATTACCCCAGGTCCCCGATGATGCCGAGTTACATTTTCTACAATAAATCTGATACAGCTATGCCAAAATGTAGCCTTGTCTCCATCTTCTGTGATTCTTTGTCCCCTCATTAACTTTCCATCCTCTAGCAAAGCAGTATTATAAATGTTAGGCAGCCTAGGAGGGAGCCTGTCAAAATCACACCACTGCAAATGTGTTCAATGCCAAGCTTTTTAAATGCAATGTGGTGCTAGATTCTGTTACAGAGGAGCAAAGACTTCTTCATGTGGTTTAGCATATCTGGGCCCATTGACATACTATGTGTAGACATTGAAACAGACAGAAAGCTCACACCTTACTCAGTCAAAGAACCTGTCAAAGTTTACACTCTGGACACACAGACAAACAATAAGCACCTTTAGGAAAGTATAGAAGGTGTTGGGCAAGAGAAAGGGAGAATGTTGGTGTCTGGATTATGATGCATGATTGAGAAAATTGTGCATTATCTATGAAAGAACTCCTATCAGTGGGCTTAATGGGAATTTCTTGTTTCATTTGAGCATGAATTTTCCGTTGGTACATTGTGTATATTGTTTCCAAATAACCAAGTTTATTCAGTCTTATATCAATGTCAACTTCAGTAGCACATCACCTTCAAACCATTCCTGGTCATCCTTACGATTTTCAGCTGTTATATTTCCAGCGCTGTTTTGAACAATGCACTTGAGCAGCATCTTTTTCCTGGGTTCTGTTTCATCAGATAACATTCGTCTTGCAATCATAATTAATTCTTCATTATTTTGGTCATGAAGTATTTTATTTAAGTAGTAGCAAATCTCTAAAAATGGGACAGAGATATTAACCTCCAGTTTTAAAATCAGTCTGGATTGGAATTATGATCTTAAATTATTCTGAACTACAGTAAAACATAGTTAATCAGATTCCATTATTTTTTACATAATAGTGCTGCAAACTGTGTTTCATGCAGTCGAGCATGTTGCCTTGGCACATGAAGTAATCCATCTCCCAAATCCTCCACAACTACACCAAATAGTCCTAATTTGGTGACACTGAGTCTTCTTGTCTCAATGCTCATCAACAGTGTTCCTACTCAAATGCAGAGATTAGCACTGATCTCTGTGTGAGCAACCAACTAACAGTATATATTTGCAGTATATATCTCCCAGAAAATGCTCCTATTTACATAGTTCAAAGACTAGTTTACACAGATTTAAGGCTTTTTACAAGTGAAACTACCTGATGTGCAATGAATAACCTGGAACTCACTGCCTATGAGCATGGGGAGAAATGATTCTGAAACAAAACTGGATGGGCACTTAAGGGAAATAAAACTGCAGGCTACAGAGAGAGGGTAACAGAATAATACATGTCAAATTGCTCTACAGAGAGCTGTTGTGGACTTGATGGGCTGAATGACCCTCTTTTCTGCCCTTATGACTGTATGAAAGCAGTTGCAAAAAACTTGTAGAAAAAAAGACATTTTGTAGGTTGGAAAAGATTTTTTTTTTAAATCCCCAACCCAACTCCAACTTTCAGTTTTGATGGAGTAGGATGGGACTGGGGAGTAGGGAACACTCCCAGGAGGTTAGTTGGCATGTACTTCATATTCTACAGGCTTCACCCTAGACAACTGTATTTTCTGAGCCTCCGAACAGCTAAAGGGAGACAAGGACTTGTTCATGAACAGCTCTATAAAACTCTGGTTAGACCACACTTGGAATATTGTGTTCAGTTCTGGTCACCTCATTATAAGAAAGATGTGGAAGCTTTAGAGAGGGTGCAGAGGAGATTTACCAGGATGCTGCCTGGACTGGAGGGCAGGTCTTATGAGGAAAGGTTGAGGGAGCTAGGGCTTTTTTCATTGAAGCAAAGAAGGATCAGAAATGACTTGATAGAGGTGTACAAGATGATGAGGCATAGATAGAGTGGATAGTCAGAGACTTTTTCCCAGGGCGGAAATGACAATTACAAGGGGGCATAATTTTAAGGTGATTGGAGGAAGGTATAGGGGAGATGTCAGAGGTAGGTTCTTTACACAGAGAGTGGTGGGCGTGTGGAATGCGCTGCCAGCAGTGGCAGTGGAGTCAGATACTTTAGAGACTTTTAAGCAACTCTTGGATAGACACATGGAGGATAGTAAAATGTAGAGTATGCAGGGTAGATTGATCTTAGTAGGATAATAGGTCAGCACAACATCGTGGGCCAAAGGGCCTGTACTGTGCTGTACTGTTCTATGTTGTATGTCTGCCAAGAAGAGCAAGAATGCCACCTCCAACCCATCACGTCTATTAGCTTCCCTGCCTGCCAACTGCGGATCAGTCTGTTCCCAGTCTTTAGGGATGAATGACTGCAGTTCTACACTCCTGTCCCCCCTCTCACCCAATTATGTGAAGCTTTGCTGTTCCTGGGCTGCATTTCCTACGAACCATTATCCCTCTCCAAAGGGTCCCAAGCCTATCAATCAGGCTGACTTCCAGAGGAGGAAACGACTTGAAAAAAATCAATGAGAAACCAGGATTCCCAGGTTTCCAAAAAAAATCTGTTCCCACTTCTCACAAAACCTGCCCCAGTCAACATGGGAATCTGTACTTACTTCCATTCCACTGCTGTCCCTGCTCCAGAATAATGAGCTTACAGTTATCTTCTAGACATGAGAAATTGTCAGCATGAACTTCTGTCCCATCTTTATCTAAACATATGCGACATCCTTTACGTGGGATCTAATCAAGATAAAACAAGCAGTTATCATAAAGTATAATAAACACTATTGCTGTTTTCCTGGAATCATTTTCTGGGGGTTGGTTAGTTCAGTTGGCTGGTTGGCTGGTTTATGAAGCAAAGTGATGTTAACAGTGTAGATTCAATTCCTGCACCAGGTGAGGTTCCCATGAAGGGTTCTCTTTCTCACCTCCCCTCTTGCCTGAGGTGCAGTGACCCTCAGGTTAAATTACCACCAGTAGTTTCTCTCTATCGAATAAGACAGCAGCTATATGGTAGGTAAGATGACAGCAACTTTACCTTTTAATTATTTTGTTGCTACTTTTAAAGAAATGATAACGTGGTCCTTTTACCTCAAGAGACTTGTCTTGAAATATGAACTATATAATAGAATAACTTCGAGCCATTGGTAACCTTCATCTGAGAAGACTCAGTTTCCAATGAGTCCAAGCAACTGCTGCCCATGACTTGTCTCAAATTGCCACTACACTGGCAGTATTACTCCAAACAGTTCACCAAAGAATTCCTGGCATCTGTAACATGAACATTGGCATAGGTGCAAATGAGACAGTGTTTTCTGAGGTTGTGTCAACTATGCGTCTTTGCCTCTGACTAGTTATACCGGTAACATTGTGTAATACAACAGAAAGTAGAATGAAAAGTCCACACAGGTATAATATGCTTCATTGGATTTGAAATGCTTCACATTTTATTAGTATGTCATTAGTGCTGTAATTCAAAGTTGAATACTCTATGCATCAGTTTCTCCAACAACAGACCAAATCATATCAAGCACTTCCAGTTAGGCAGTCTCTAATTCATCATTGCCAACGTGTCCTTAAAGCAGATGGCTGACTCTTAGAACACCAAAGTCACATTGACAAATCTTCAAACTCAAGATTTGTTCCTGACAGTTTAAAACTTTACTGCTGGTGCTGAATGTTTGAATTTCCTCTGAATTTGCAGATTTTATGTAAGAATTAAATACAAGGGTGCAATGTACAATTTTATGAGAAGTGAAACTACGTTTCAATTACTCAACATTAAATACCTTAAGTATTTCTGTGATCTGTCACAATGTATCACTTTGAAGTGGATATCATATATCACAATCCAAATATTCTAGTCAGTTTCAAGGTCTCTCTTTTCAGTGCAGGTTGAATGCCCACCCAAGAATGGCAAATTTCCCTACAGCCATCTTGGGTAAATCCACTTTTTGATTTGGTAAGTAGCCATATAAATGTTTAACAAAAGATTTGTATGTACAACATCTAGGTACCAAAGGACTTTCCATAAATGGTGTCATATTTGAGGTACAGTCATTGTTGTAGGAAAACACCACAGCTAATTTACAGACTGAAGGATCCCACAAATAATAAAATAATGACCAGATAATGGTGTTGTGGTGACAAACGGGGAGTAAATATTGGCCAGGACACAGGGGAGACCTCTCGTTCACCCTCGCCGCTTCTCTTTCTAAAAATCATACTGTAAAATTCAGGCCTCAGTTTACAGGAAAGAGATAGAGTGCTTGTTGGTGTAGCTTAAGATAACAATCTCTCCCTCAATGTTAGCAAAGCAAAAGAGCTGATTATTGACTTCAGGAAGCAAGGAGCAGCTCACGCCCCTATCTACAGCAATACAGCTGAGTTAGAGATGGTCGAGTGCGCTCAAGTTCCTATGAGTGATGATCACCAACAATCTGTCCTGGTCCACCCACATTGACACAATGGTCAAGAAAGCACAACAATGCTTCTTCTTCCTCAGGAGGCTAAGGAATTTCAGCATGTCCATAAAGACTCTCACTGACTTTTACAGAAGCACCATTGAAAGTTTTCTATCTGGATGTATCAAGGCTTGGTACGGCAGTCGTTTTGTCCAGGACTGTTAGAAACTACAGAAAGTGGTGAACACAGCCCAATCCATCACGCAACCCAGCCTTTTATCCATTGACCCCATCTACACTTCTTGCTGCCTCAGGAAGGCAGCCAACATCACCAAAGACTGCTCCCACCCTGGCTATAATCTCTTCCAACCTCTTCTGTTGGGCAGAATATACAAAAGCTTAAACACACGTACCAACAGGTTCAAGAACAGCTTCTTCCCCGCTGTTATTAGACTTCTGAATGGACCTCTCAAAATTGAAATCTAATGTTGGTCTTGCTTTTTGTGCACCTTCTCTACAGCTGTAACTTTGTATTTCTCGCTCTGTTCTACCTTTGTAAGGTATGATCTGCCTGAACTGCACGCAAAACAAAATTTTTCACAATACTTAGGTACGTGACACTAATAAATCAAATCAAATCAAATTAATTCAAAGTAAAGGGGGCAACACGCTCTTAAGGCTGATGTGCCACTTGGGGTTTTGTGTTCAACTCTATGGAATTCTATCATTTAATTCATGATCTGCTTTCTAATTTCAGATTATTTAAAACTTAAGGGCGATAGACTTCCATTAAATGGACATGGAAAGCACGAATCAAAAGGTACATGTAACATCATAGGAGCAGAGAGGCTGACGTTTCGGGCCGAGACCCTTCATCAGAAAAACTGCCTGCTGTGTTCATCCAGCCCTGCACCTTGTTGTCTCGGATTCTCCAGCATCTGCAGTTCCTACTATCTCAGCCACATGTAACATTCGTTTTAGGGGACAACAATTTACAGCATTGAAACGACAGGGTTTGATTCTCAAAAGTAGCATAAGATATCCGTCCCCTCAGTCCCTTTGACCTGAATTGGGTGGGACTGATATGACTCTGGACTCCGATCAAGCAGAACGAAAAAGCTTATCACCAAACGTCAGCCCTACCGTTCAGCCACTCGCAGACAAGAGAACCCTGGATTAATAAATATGGTGAACGTTTTCAATTCTGCTGCAGGGAAATTGCAAAAATCGGCGAGCTCTCTCTACAGAAAAAATCACGGAAGTACTTCTAAACATCCACTGAAATTAAGTAATAAATGTGTCTTCAGATTTCCGGACGTCTCTGTTCATTGTAGGGCACTTGCTTTCATGAAATTAATTTATTTGTATTTTACACAATCTATTCAATTTCACCTGCAGTTTCTGGCATCCCTTTGTCATTAGATCGCGCAGATCTCTCGCTACGATTCCATACATTCTGTCACTCTTCAAACTCCTCACTTTGAATTTGGTCCCCATGTTAAAACGATGAACTTTATGTTACAAGGAGACGCAAGTGCGCATGCACTCTCCGCCCCGGAGTTCAACAAATGCCGGAATAAAGTAGAGGAAGTTCCTGAAAACCCTACTAGGGTTGTTGTTAACTATCAAATACACATACAGAGATCACTGAATACAGCAAAGCCCCTGCTGATTGTTTCTTTCCTTTGTGTAGTTATCTGGGTTGAAAATAGTTTTGGATGACTTGTAACAAAATAACATTAGAAAATGCTGAGTGTACTTCGTCATTTGGGCAACATTTCGTAGGGAAAATAATGTTAGTTTTAAGTCGGTTATGACCTGAGGAACGATAGAAATGTAATATATTTAAAACAGATGAAAAGGGAGGGGTGTGGGAAGAATAAAAGAGTAGGCTTGTGATCTGGTATCGGGCGGGAGACCTTAAATGACGAAAGGTTTTGTAAAAATTGATTAAGAAACAAAAAGTGGTCTGATGAAGAGTGACTGGCTAGAGGGCAGTTCTTCTGAATGCAAAGTAAAAGAAAAAAATGTAAAGAAATGCAACAAAATTGAATCAGTGGGGGAAGAAAGTTGAAAATAGAGTCAGGAGATGTAAAACCGAATCTAATGTTGAACTTGCCGAGTTGGCAGATCAGGTTCTCCGATGTAGAGGAGGCCACAACGGGAATAGCGGATGCAGTATACCACATTAGCAGATGTGCAGGTGAACATCTGCTTGATGTGGAAAGTCTTCTTAGGGCCTGGGATAGGGGTGAGGGGGGAGGTGTAGGGGCAGGTGTAGCACTTCCTGCGGTTGCAGGGAAAAGTGCCGGGTGTGGTGGGGCTGGAGGAGAGTGTAGAGCGGACAAGGGAGTCACGGAGAGAGTGGTCCCTCCGGAAAGCAGATAAGGGTGGGGAGGAAAAAATGTCTTTGGTGGTGGGGTCGGATTGCAGATGGTGGAAGTGTCGGAGGATGATGCGCTGGATCCGGAGGTTGGTGGGGTGGTACGTGAGGACGAGGGGGATTCTGTTTTGGTTGTTATTGCGGGGAGGGGGTGTGAGGGTTGAGTTGAGGGAAATGCAGGAGACACGGTCGAGGATGTTCTCGACCACTGAGGGGGGAAAGTTGCGGTCCTTGAAAAACGAGGACATCTGAGATGTACGGGAGTGGAATGCCTCATCCTGGGAGCAGATGCGGCGGAGGCAAAGGAATTGGGAATAGGGGATGGCATTTTTGCAGGAAGGTGGGTGGAGGAGGTGTATTCTTGGTAGCTGTGGGAGTCGGTGGGCTTGAAATGGATATCGGTTTCTAGGTGGTTGCCAGAGATGGAAACAGAGAGGTCCAGGAAGGAGAGAGAGGTATTAGAGATGGTCCAGGTGAACTTAAGTTTGGGGTGGAAGATGTTGGTGAAGTGGATGAACTGTTCAAGCTCCTCGTGGGAGCACGAGGCGGCGCCGATACAGTCATCAATGTAAAGGAGGAAGAGGTGGGGTTTAGGGCCAGTGTAGCTATGGAAGGGGGATTGTTCCACGTAACCTACAAAGAGGCAGGCATAGCTTGGGCCCATGCGGGTACCCATGGCCACCCCCTTTGTCTGTAGGAAGTGGGAGGAATTGAAAGAGAAGTTGTTGAGGATGAGGACGAGTTCGGCTAAGCGGATGAGGATGTCAGTGGAGGGGGACTGGTCAGGCCTGCGGGACAGGAAGAAGCGGAGGGCCTTTAGGCCATCTGTATGGGGAATGCAGTTGTATAGGGACTGGACGTCCATGGTAAAGATGAGGTGTTGGGGACCGGGGAATTGGAAGTTCTGTAGGAGGTGGAGGGCATGGGTGGTGTCACGGATGTAGATGGGGAATTCCTGGACCAAGGGGGAGAAAATGGAGTCCAGATAGGTGGAGACAACAAGGTGCAGGGCTGGATGAACACAGCAGGCCAAGCAGCATCATAGGAGCAGAGAGGCTGACGTTTCGGGCCCAGACCCTTCATCAGAAAAGGGGGAGGGGAAGGGGGTTCTGAAATAAATAGGGAGAGAGTGGGAGGCGGATAGAAGATGGATAGAGGAGAGGATAGGTGGAGAGGAAACAAACAGGTCGAAGAGGCGGGGATGGAGCCAGTAAAGGTGAGTGCAGGTGGGGAGTTAGGAAGGGGATAGGTCAGTCCAGGGAGGACGGACAGGTCAAGGGGGCGGGATGAGGTTGGTCGGTAGGAGATGGAGGTGCGGCTTGAGGTGGGA